CTGTCTGGGCACCTGTCCGTGTGGGCGCCTGTCCGTGTGGGCGCCTGTCCACGTATGTACCTGTCTGAGTGGGCACCTGTCTGTGTGTGTGCCTGTCTGAATGGGCGCCTGTCTGAGTGGGCGCCTGTCCGAGTGGGCTCCTGTCCGTGTGGGCGCCTGTCCGTGTGGGCGCCTGTCAGTGTGGGTGCCTGTCCGAGTGAGCGCCTGTCCATGTGGGCGTCTGTCCATGTGTGTGCCTGAGTGTGCGCCTGTCCGTGTGTGTGCCTGTCTGTGTGTGTGCCTGTCCATGTGTGCCTGTTCGTGTGTGTGCCTGTTCGTGTGTGTGTCTGTCCGAGTGGGCGACTGTCTGGGTACCTGTCTGTGTGTGCACCTGTCTGTGTATGCACCTGTCCATGTGTGCCTGTTCGTGTGTGCGCCTGTCTGAGTGGGTGCCTGTCTGTGCGCCTGTCTGTCTGTGCACCTGTCTGTGTGTGTGCCTGTCTGTGTGGACACCTGTCTGAGTGGGCACCTGTCCGTGTGGGCGCCTGTCCGTGTGGGCGCCTGAGTGTGCAGCTGTCCGAGTGAGCGTCTGTCCGTGTGTGTGCCTGTCTGAGAGGGCGCCTGTCCGAGTATGTGCCTGTCTGGGCGCCTGTCCATGTGTGCGCATGTCTGTGTGTGCCTGTCTGTGTGTGTGCCTGTCAGTGTGGGCGCCTGTCCGAGTGGGCTCCTGTCTGTGTGTGCGCCTGCTGAGTGTGCGCCTGTCTGTGTGTGCCTGTTCGTGTGTGTGCCTTTCATGTGTGTGTCTGTCCAAGTGGACGACTGTCTGAGTGTATGCCTCTCCGTGTGTGCCTGTCCATGTGTGCGCCTGTCCGAGTGTGCACCTGTCCGAGTGTGCACCTGTCCGAGTGAGCACCTGTCCATGTGTGCACCTGTCCATGTGTGCGCCTGTCTGTGTGGGCGCCTGTCTGTGTGGGCGCCTGTCTGAGTGGGCACCTGTCTGTGTGGGCGCCTGTCTGAGTGGGCGCCTGTCTGTGTGGGCGCCTGTCTGAGTGGGCACCTGTTCGAGTGTGTGCCTGTCCGAGTGCGCACCTGTCCATGTGTGCACCTGTCTGAGTGGGCGCC